CTTTTTTTTTTGGAGATTTGTTCAGGATCTTATTGGTCTAGTATTTTAACTGTGATCAAAAGGTGGCGTACCAAAAAAGTATATTTTTTCTGAATTTTAACCACAAAAATGGACATAGCTAAGTATTTTAAGGCAAATGAGTGTATTTTTAGTCATTTTTGAGAATCTTTTTTTTTTCAGAGATTTGTTCAGGAAATTATAGGTCTACTATTTTAACTGTGATGTCCAAGCGACCTCCAAGTGATGTCCAATTGTCCTCCAATTGACCTCCAAGTGAACTCCAAGCGACGTCCAAGCGACCTCCAAGCGACGTCCAAGCGACCACAAAGTGACCTCCAAGTCACAAAAAAGACAAAAATCAAGTAAAAATCTTTTTCCAAATTCAATCTTTTTTTGCAAGTTTCTCATAAAATTGGGACTTCTAGAGAAAGTTTTTACAAATTTCTTAATATAAAGTTTTTTGTAAAAATGAGATTTTTTTGTGTCATTTCCGGTCAAAAACAAAAAAAAATTACAAAAATAATGTAAAATTATTTTTCAAAATTGTTTCTTTTCCTGCATGTTTATAATAAAATTAGTGCAATTATTGACATTTTTTAAAATTTTTTTATATAAGATTTTCTGTCAAAATGTTTTGTTTTGTCATTTCCGGTCAAAAACTACAAAAGATTGACAAAAATGTTTAACAAAATTAGTTTTAAAAATTGTATCCTTTCTGGCATGTTTCTCATAAATTTAGGGCATTTAGAGGAAGTGTTTTCAAATTTTTTAATATTAAATGTTTTGTCAAAAACATTTAATATTTAATCTATATTTAATATTTTTTCTGTGTCATTTCCGGTCAAAAACAAAAAAACATTTAAAAAAATAATGTAAAATGATTTTCCAAAATTGTATCTTTTCCTGCATGTTTCTCATAAAATAAGGGCATTAAGAGAACATAAAAAAAAACAATTCTATGAAGTTTTCTGTCAATTTTGGTTAAATTTTTTTTTAAATCTATCGGATTTTTTGCACTTTTTAACAATGGTAAGGCTATAGTAAGGCATGTTTTGGTTGATTTTGTAAATATTCGTATAAAATATTTTTTGGACTTTTAAACACAAAATATTCACTTGGCAGCATGTTTTAGGAC